GTTTAAACTGGCCCCCCACACACATTCAAAGCAAGTGATTCATGTCCCTACTGCCACTTCTACCTGACTTTAGACACTAAAGAGCTGCTTTGACTATGGCAATAGTTGAATCAATTTTATTATTACAATACTTACATTAAAATCTGACTAGAATTCATAGCATAGCATCTTAAAGGTTAACTTACTTCACATTAAAGATGATTGATTGAGCCTTAACACAAGTCCAAGAACACAATAGCACACCACCATAGCATAGCATCTTAAAGGTTAACTTCACATTAAAGATGATTGTTTGAGCCTTAACACAAGTTCAAGAACACAAACAGCACACCATCCATACAGGTAATGCCATGAGTAATCTGTGGCACTCTGGCTATTTTTTACTGTAGTATTTTTTAGACTATTTCAAAAACATACAGAACTTGAGTTATGAAAATTTAACTGAAACCTAGATGAAAGGAGTGGAACAATTTTTCAGTGCTAAAATTGTGTATTTTCTCTTAAGGTTAATAAACACTTGAAATGTATACAGGAAACCTAAGGGCGTCTCACACATTTCAGAAGCTGTTCAGTCAAAATACTTTAAAAAATATAGACTTTATCACTCCCTTTTCTGTTTCAGCTTTTAGTCCACCAAGTGTTTCCCATCTGATGCACAGAGAAGCCGTATCAAGCCAATTTGCAGTATCCCAGCCCCATTTCACTCCTCTTGCCACTTGGCTCCTATGTCAGAATAGTCTTTCAAAAAGTTACAATCTGCCTGGATGGATCTTCACTCAGGTCACTTGTGTTGGAATTAGCTCTGCCCAAGTACATTTACAGAACTGAAATAAAAATCAAGCTGAAATATTAAACAGGCTTGCAGAGAGGGTACCCTGGAGAAGGTGCCAGGGCAATCCTGCTCATGAGTTTCTATCTGCTACTTTTATGGTGGTCTGAAAGTAAACAGCCTTTACACTTGTATTTTGTGAACAATAACATATATAACTTCAACCCAATTATAATGCAAATCTCGAGTATGATGTCACATGGTGCCAAGAGTGCTAGTAATTAAGCAATCAGAAACAAACTGACAGGGAGGGCAAATCTGCCCAGCAGCTGTTTCCTATCACCACCCTCAGATCATCCCACCTCAGTATACCAACACTTCTGGAGCTTCCCTACTTTTGCTACAACCTCAGCAGTTCTATAAAACCCTACATATGCAAACAAAAACTCTCTAACAGTAAATAACAGCAAATGCGAGAGGGGATTATCAGCCGTAATGTCTCAAATTTACCTGCACTTCAGGTTGCTTACAAAGCCACATCTCTGACAAGTTTTCAAATGCTGTCTACAGTGCATTTTTGGTGACAGCAGCAAAAAGAGATGCAATCCATGGGCAGCTTCGTGAGTGACATGTGCAGATGGGGTGATAGCGCTGTGCTCTTGCACTCTTTGTAAATACACATGCACACATTTTCCTTCATTTCCTTAAAGGGGCAGCATCTCACCTCACTGAGCTGGCACATTTTCTTGGAGATGCTAGTAAATTTACACACTGTACCAGCCAAAATAATTAATAACACAACAGCTAATTTTTTCTCTATCCCTTTGTTTTGTTATAATAGACTAGCTAAAGTTTATTGTGCTTTGCTGGCAGAACATTTGATTTCCCCTTGCCAGCTAGAGAATAGGTAGATGCAACCAGAGAGACTGCCAAGTTACAGGATATATAAACCATCTCTGGCAGTCAGCAAAACTGCTGCTGAAGATTAAATTACACAAACTTGCCAGAGGTGTAACTTACTTGGAAAGGAATCTTAAGTTTTGCTCACCTACTTCAGTGGGGTGGAGAAGCATCCAAAACCATTATTAGGTTATTACCTCTCCCTAGCAAAGCTGTCTGCAAAGATTTTGCTCCCACCAGATGTCAGTCAGATGCTTTGGTTCATAGGGCTTTACTTTTCAAAATGAAAAGCACATCATTTACCCTAAAAATGACATTGGGCAAAAGACACATGATTTTTGGTTGCTTTCCTCACAGAGCTAATGTTTCACCATTACTATAGGACAAGCAAGGATTCTGCAAGTCGCTTGGTGTTAAAAATTCTGCATTAAGCACCAACACTCACCAGCCTACATATCCACTAAAAAAAAATAAAAATAAATACACCTTTTTCCCTACTGACAAGACACTGGAGGTTTTCGGCTTTCCTTAACAATATTTTATAGGTAAAGCCACCACACCCTGACCCTCAAAAAGTTTTAGTAAACTTTAAAACTTTTGATAACTTCTCTCCCTTTCCCACAAATTCCAAGGCAAGCAATCCCTTGTAGTATGCAGCAAAAACATTGATCAACAATAGCCTCTTTGCAAGAGACTACAGGTTCACAGGAGAGGTTTAAGTTTCCTTTATAGAGGAGCAGAGCTAAGAACACAGTGAAACACTATCCCACATGTCCCTGTCTTTCAAGTCCCAGTTCAGAGACAAGATTCAATACAGAAGCAGCCCAGAATTTGTCCAGTTACTATTTTTTTAAAATTTACAATAATGGCACCATATTCTTCAGCCTATTAAAAAAAATCTTTATTATCAGTATAGCAAATTTCTTCCACTTCAGCCAGATTCCAGCTCACCAACATATTTCCTATTATGTTTTCTCAACTTAATGAATACCCATAATCAACCAGCTGCCATATAGTGCCAAAAAGGAGTGATTTACATTCATTAGTAAGTTGTTTGATTACTGTGAGATATACAGAACTGAGCATGGGTATCCTTACCTTAGACTTTGCTTTGTGTAAGCAAAGGTTCTCTTTTGGCAACCACTTCAATTAAAGTACAGAAAACCATAAACAAGCTCACAAAATTGCAATTTTATCATAGAAGGTTTGGTCCTTTGCCTGTGTGTGTGTGCATATTCAGTGTAGTAACACAGAAGGAATGCTGAAGGATTTTGGAGACAGGCTGTTCAACTGGGTGTTGAAACCTGCAACCTACAATTCTGATCAGCAAACAACATTCCTGTTGAACTGAGTTTCCACAGGTGCTATGTGAATCGAGGAACATAATGCATTGCTCACCTAACAAGACATTCAATTTTCTCAATCAAAAAACTGTAACTTGCAACCCCCCACAAATTTGTTTTAATAAGCTCCATACAGCAAGCTGAAGTTTGAGGCTGTTTCAAAAATTCCACCTCAGAGATTAAAAAAAGACACTATTGCTCATCACATGCAATCATACTCTCACATCATACATGAGCTTGCTATCCAAGTAACACACCTAACGACACATATACCCCATGGGTCAATTAAGAAAAAAATATATAAAGAAGTAAACTTCTTAAACACTCAGTGATAAATGCACACTTCTGACTGAAAAAAAGAATCAGTCAGCTTCAGTACTTTTCTCCATGCCATTAAATAAAAGCATACTAAGCAAAGGAGATAAAACCAAAACCAGGTACCAAGAAGAACAGGAAGTCTCTTATATTTTACCATGAAAAACTGAGCATCTATTCTAAGAAAAAGAGAACAGTTTTCTTAAACCACACACCGATTCTTTGTGATGCTCAATGTCCAGATTATGACAACTCTTGTTCACAAACATTAAGTACTTCACAGCTTTCTTGTCGTTAGCAGCTTCATATTTAAACATAATTTTTCAGGCTCCCATTATGAAATAAACAATACAACATCTGGTTTACCGAAACAAAGCTATCAAGTTCAGTTTGCTGGGTTTTGTAACAACAGGCTGACCAATACCTGCAGTGCAAGGGTGCCAGCTTTTCTTGCAGGAAAGACAACAAAGGAATAACACATAGGCTTGTTCAGCCTGCAACTGTATTAGGCTGACTCAACTGCACCTGGTCTTACTCGTAAGAGATATTCTTGAGGTCCTTCCCTTTGATTCCTGTATTTCTAAAATGTTCCTACAGTTCAGCTCCCAGATGCCTCCAAATTTAGTAGCTATTAAGCATTAAATAGTCAGATTCCCTCAAGTAAATAATTTACACGTTGGTCATTCAGAAGAGTAGTACAATTTTAGTTCAGATTCCCTCAAGTAAATAATTTACATGTTGGCCATTCAGAAGAGTAGTACAATTTTAAGTGGTACTACTGTCAAAAACGAACTTAGCACCACACATTTCTAATAGCCATCCTGTTGCACAGGGACCCACTGGAGGTTTAGAAAAACTTGGCAGTGATGACACCATGTACATCTTTTAAGGGATGAAGATGATTAAAGAATGTAACTTTAGAAAAACTTGGCAGTGATGACACCGTGTACATCTTTCGAGGGATGAAGATGATTAAAAAATGTAATAGACTAAGAGGGCTACACGCAGTTCCACCCACGTGCAGGAGAGGCCAGTAACATCCTTCCACCACTGCCAACCAGTTAGTTCTCTCTCATTGGCACTGAGGCAGGGAAGAAACAACCATGCAAGGATGGCCTGCAACAGCAGATAGTGTTCTATACAGCCTTCTAGGAGAAGCAAAAAAATCTCCTTCCTTTCCAGCAGGAGTTGAGATATGACCTTCAGTGAGATGCCTCAGTATTAACTAGCTAGCTGTAGATTTTCAAGTGGTTTATATCTGCAATGCCATGATTAAGACAACTGGTCCAATTAAGGAGGAAGTGTATCTGATTAAAAACATTCCCTGTCATTTAACAAAACATACCCATCTTTTTTTGGGGAAAAAATTCAAGCATAAAAAGCATATCAAATTGCACCTGATATAATAAAACATCCTGCAGGTAATAATAAATGCAAAACTGATGCACTTCAATAACAAGAGGAATATGGGAAGGAAAACAGACAAGAGGAACAAAAAAGGCATTTCCAAATTCAGTTATTATTAGGGCATCCTGATGAGGCTTTATTGAACCCTCCTTTGATCAGGACCTTCCAGGATTATATAGAAAACAAACAAAGAATTAGCCTGACCATTTTTGTTCTTGAAGGAATGCTTACTTAGGAGTATTGTTTACAGATTTTATTTATTTCACTCAAAATGTTCCAGATACCTCTGTAATCAAGCATCCTCCCACTTCAGAGGTTACAGAACTACATATATTACCTCTTACATCCTTTTGGAATGCTAATTTTCCAAATGTGTTAAACAGTGGAGATACTACCATGCACAAAAATATATTATTAACAGATTTTTGCACTCCAAAAATTATAAAGACCAGGTAAGGATGCTGCTTTTTCAAGATCAGACATGGTGCACATTTTTTAATATTATACATAATTTGTCAAAAATTCTAATCCTTCAACACAGACCACATATTTTGTTCTTAGGTTACAGATGAGTTGGAGCTCCATCTAGCTCTTTCACTAGAGGTTCCTTGTTTTTTTTTATCATCCAGGGATTTTGTACATCAAATGAACATCAAAAGACCAACCAAACTTAACATAGTCCCTTAGCACTATTTCTCCTTTCTCTGCCTTACAATACAGATTCAGGTTTTCACTTTTTCGAAGTCTATTAATGTAATTCTCCCCCTTTACTATGATGGACAAAGTTTATGCTAGTGATGTTTTACTCACCTATGAAAAGTTGGGTTTCTATTTGAGAGGAAGGATTTTTTTGATTTCGTATTCATTTTCTTTGCTCTGAAATTCAATTCCCTAACCACACTCTTTGTGAAGCAGCTTTGTTCTCAGCTCTTATCTACATCTTCTAAGATCATTACAAATGCAATGGTAATTCATCAGCCAAAATTCAGTTTACAGCACAATAAAGTCTTGAGCCACTAACTGCTTCTTCCTGGGTAGGAACTTAGCTTTGAACTGGCACGGGGAGGTGGCAAGGCAAACATATTCTGTATCAGAGAGAGTCTGGGCATCATCTTCACGTTCAACTACAGAAGAAATCATAGTAATATGGCCTGAAGGTGATAAATTAATTTTGGCTAGGTTCCTGTCTGGAAGGAAAGAACAATTTTCCTAATGAGATAAAGATGAAGGAAGACAAGGACCTCTAGGCAACTGGAATTTAGTCGGAGAGAGGCCCTAATAAATCAGGTTGTGCTTCTCTTTGTTTAAGGAAATACCTGTTAGGAGATCCGGGCCCTGTTTATTTTTCTCTGACAAACCTGATTTTCTTGGCAGTACACAAACACAGAATCATAACTTGAAATGAGAATAAAAGCAGGTGGTCAAGTACAAGTTTCAAATTCTTTTTCATCTGAAATAAGTAAACACAAACCCAGGCTGATGGAGCTCAGTTTACACAGATCTCCTGCTACCTGGAAACTCCTATTTCTGTATTCAAATTATCCACACCCAGATGAGTAGATTTGCTTGGAAAACTTGCACTAGACAAACTAGAAAACACAAGTATTCTTACAAACATGCATATGAAGTTGTAATCACATGGAAATCGCAGCTACAGAAGATGCAGCCTCTTTACACAGCACTGTTGGAGGTGCACACACTCCACAGACTTTGAGCAAGCTCATATTCTTAGCAGCAGATTTAACACATGACCACTTGAGTTTCCTGTAGCATTGCAATCATTGCTGATAGCAGCAGCAGCTCCTGCCCAAGCAGGTCACTCAGCTGAACACACAATGTTCCTGTACCACAGTCCCATTACAAAAGCTACAGCCTTTGTCAGGCACGTTCTGCTTCACCACACTCTCACTTCAACCTCTGAGAAAACATGGACATTATTGCCACTGCCTTTCAAAGTAGCATAGTTTGGGACCTCTGGCTATTCTAAACTGAAAGAGAGGCAATGTCCCAAGTCAATCAGACTGCTGCAAAGGCAGCAGCCCCACTCCACTCCTCACCAAGTTGCGTGTTGCGGCCCCTCCCTTACGCTAACCCAGGACATCACAGCCATTGTCAGCACCACAGAAGGATTGGGGTACTTGGGCTGGAGTAGAAGAAAAAGGCAGGACCACCTGTCCAGGGAGTTTACACTTCACATAGGTCAACACCCAAGTCAATCAGACTGCTGCAAAGGCAGCAGCCCCACTCCACTCCTCACCAAGTTGCGTGTTGCGGCCCCTCCCTTACGCTAACCCAGGACATCACAGCCATTGTCAGCACCACAGAAGGATTGGGGTACTTGGGCTGGAGTAGAAGAAAAAGGCAGGACCACCTGTCCAGGGAGTTTACACTTCACATAGGTCAACACACAGTGAGCGGACCACCTGTCCAGGGAGTTTACACTTTGGTCAACATACAGTGAGCATGCTTCCCTCAAGAAACCATCACCCTGCTTGTGCTACACAGCTACAGTTATCGGCAGCAGCACAGTCTCAGCCTGCCTCTGCCTAAAGACTAATCGCTGTCTCCTTCAGGACAAGAAAGCCAAAACCTGGATTTGTCAGATTCTTAAATATCCATTTCAGTGTGTTTAAGAAAGGAAAGGTCGTATTTAAATGCTAGGTTTAGAGTTACAGTAGGTTAAGAAAGCAACCTCTTCTGTGAAAAGCCTGTTATATTTCTGATCTGGACTGCGCACTGCATATTTCATCCCAGAAATTAATAGAAAGCTACAGCCAGCAACCAGATTATAAATTAAAATGTAATAAAACCTTTCAAATTGTCTTGGATATTATAAAATTCTGTACCTGATATACTCTTTATCTGAGGGATTATATCAGCTATTACTCTGGGACTCCCTGTATAACACAACAGCTTTTTTCTATGCCTGCTTTCTGAGACGCCAGCAAGTGACTGTTCTCTCTGAAGGGAGACAAGACATAAAAGCTTAATTCCTCTTCTCCTCCCTGCCCCTCCCCTGCTACAAGGGAGCTGTCATGCCAAGAGGGCAGCAGACCTTCTAACTTTACTTTCAAGAGTGAAAATTTGCTTTCAATAGTATCACATAAAGATCTAGTGCTTCAGAAATTTCTGTATCTTTGAACGAGCATGTTATAACTTCCGTAGCCTTTAAGAATTCTGACAGGACCTGTATCCACCTCAGAGGATTTATTCAAACCACAAGACTTAAAATGCAGACAGCTGGAAACGAACAATATTTGACGTCCACCTCTACCAGGCTTTTAGGAATTGTTTCTCTGCAATTTTTCATATAACCAATTTGGACATGAACAAATAATGCAGATGGGCATTTAGTTGCAACACACCTGCAGTGGCCCAAGAAGCTTCTCTGAAAGGGTCAGGAAAGTTGTATTGACCTTGCTCTATCAGATTATCAGCATAACATAAATGATGCCAGCTTTGGTCTCTGAGACTGTAGTGAACTGCTGCAATATGTTAATTGCAACACTCATCTCATAGTATCATGCTCCGAAAACCACATAACCACCACCAAATGCCATGTCTTTATGCTTTAGATGCATGTTTTTACAATGTGCATGTGGGCCATAGGAGACGGTGTGCATCTAAATCAATACGTTCTAGACACACCAATGCAAGTTCCCAATACTTAAGAATTCACAGTATACTTCAAATAGTAAAATATTTCATTTTGGAATTGATTTTGTTCAAATTTTGTGTAAAAAAGTCAACCAAATCTCTAAGTACTGACATAGAATTTCTGGGGTCTTTCGTTGTAAAATAGTTTTTTCCTTAAAGAAGGATGAAGAAAAATCTGTATCACTTTTCATTAATGTTGTTTCAACATATTGCTGCTACTGTTATAAATAAGAGCAGAGGGTCTGCACAAGTAAGGAAAGCAACTATATTTCAGATTGAAGCTGCTCTTTTTGCCAAATGATCACTCTCTGATTAATAGCTGACACCATTACAGCACATTTTTACTGAAATCTGGATACATATCTGAAAGAAATGTACAGTATTTCAGCTCTTCAATCTAATTTTCCTCAAAAACTATGGTATAGTTCATGCTGAAAGATTAATTAGATAAGCTAGGTTTACCAATAAGGTAACAGTTAGCAAGCAACATGAGAACATTTTATCATCTGTGGCAATACAAGCAGGGCTTACAAAAGCAGTTCTAAGTGCTACTTTAACTCACTAAAATGTTCACCTGTTCTTTAAAAACAAAACAGGATATACATTTCTTGGAAATTTTTCATAGCACCTTTTCTTTGTCAGGCCACTTTTAGCAGCAGCAGCAAAGGATTCTAGGCTGCTAATTGCATTGTATCTCATTAACTCTCATGAGCTAACCTGAAAGAACAAATTCAGATAGTTGCATGAGTTCTGTTCTGAATTCTGCTCCAGTCTTTTAAATTTACTATAGTTTCAAAAATAGAGAGAAAATCACATGACAATTCTTGGGTTTTTTTTTTCTCTGTTTGGTGGGACTTAAGCACATGCATAAATGCTTTCCTGAATCAATGCCAATATGCTATAAAATGACAATAACTGATGTATCACTTCTCAATACAATACTCTTTGTAAAGAGACTTTGAAGGTGAAAGTTACTTTTCAGAAATAATCTACAAAAATGTATAAAAAACCAGAATTGTCAAACATTTTCCAATTCAGCTTTAGTAAATTAAAAACTTCAAAACAAATGCTTTTATTACAAACTTCTAAGAAGAAATGCACCTAATAGTACAAATTAATGGCTTCTAAATGGATGATCAATATCTCATTGTATTTTACACAAAGACCTAAAACCCTATTGCTGTAACAATACCCAAAAAAAAGAGAAAGCTTTACATATCAGGTTACCTGTCTGATTTTTTTAATAGACTATACATCTGGCTACAGCCATTTCAGAGTCTCAACCTCAATCATTAGAAGTAGGGATTAAGACAAGAGGCAGTTTATGACTTTAAGTATTTACTACCATTCTATCAACTCTACAAATGTCTTTTAAAGGAGATGTAACTAGTTGACAACTATAAAGCAGCATTTTGGTTTCACTCTGTATCATGATAAATTACTTAGATTAAATGATATGTATTATCTTACCTGATACATTCCAACTCCTATGTGTTTGGGCTCAATTTTCACTAGCTCAGCTAATGGGTCTTGGACTCGTCTAGCTATGGAAACTGAAAAACAAAATTAGAAAACAGTGATGGATTTTATCTGAAATAACAGAATAATGTAATTGCTTTTGCTTTTTTTTTTTTTTTTTTTTTTTTTACATCTTCTACATGTTTAATTTCTTTTAAAACCTGGAAATAATCAATAGTATAGTGGAATCCTTTTTCCTTGTTAGACACAGGACATCACATGTACATTAATCAAATTTTCTATTTGAATAATTCAAGCAAAGACTTAAGGAGACTGCAAACTGTAATTGTGATGTTTAAAGAGTTTTTCAAGCCACAGACTTAAATAAAACTGCATGCACTATATATGTCTATCTGGATTTCAGTAAGGCATTTGACACTGTCTCCCACAGAATACTTCTATATAAACTGGTTGCTTGTGGCCTGGATGGGTGGACTCTTCAATGGGTAAAAGCAGGCTGGATGGCCAGACCCAGAGAGTTGTGGTTAATGGAGCTAAGTCCAATTGGTGTCCAGTCACTAGTGGTGATCCCCAGGGCTCAGTACTGGGATCAGTCCTATTTATCATCTTTAGTGGTGATCTAGATGTGGGGATTGAGTGCATCCTCAGCAAACTTGCAGATTACACAAGGTTGGGTGGGAGTGCTGATCTGCCTGAGGGTAGGAAAGCTCTACAGAGAGACCTGGACTGACTTATCAGTGGGCTGAGGACAACTGCAGGAGGGTCAATAAGGTGAAGTGTCAGGTCCTGCACTTGGGGCACAACAACCTCATGCAGTACTACAGGGTAGCAGTGGAGTGGCTCAAGTGTTGTTTGTCAGAAAGGGACTTGGGAGTGTTGGTCAACAGGGGCTCAATATGAGCCAACAGTGTGCACAGGTGACCAGGAAGGCCAATGGCATCTTGGCCTGTATCAAGAATAGTGTGACCAGGACTAAGGAAGTGATCATCCCCCTGTACTCGGCATTGGTGAGGCCACACCTCGAGTGCTGTGTTCATTTTTGGGCCCCTCACAGTTAAAAGGACATTGAGGCACTGGAGTGAGTCCAGGGAAGGGCAACACGGCTCATAAAAGGTGTAAAACACATGTCCTATGAGGAAGGGCTGAGGGAGTTGGGTTTGTTTAGCCTTGAGAAGAGGCTCAGGGGTGACCTCATGGCTCTCTACAACTACCTGAAAGGGGGTTGTAGAGAGATGAGGGATGGTCTCTTCTGCCATGCCTGCAGTGAGAGGACTAGAGGAAATGGTCATACGCTGAGAGAGGGAAGATTCAGATTAGATGTAAGGAAACTTTTTTTCACTGTTAGGGTAGTCAGGCACTAGAATAGATTGCCCAAGGAGGTGGTGGAGTCATCATCCCTGGAAGTGTTTAAGAGGCATCTGATCTGGTGCTGAAGGATATGGCAGGATAATGGTTGGACTCAATGATCTTAGAGGTCTCCTCCAACCTTGATGATTCTATGATTTTCTTCCCTTGTATCCATACTAAAAGCATAGGTAATATTTAAAATTAAGCTCTGTTAGAACCTTTAACCTTAAATCACAGATATGTAGAAACAAACATTTTAAAAAGTAATGGGGTAACTGTTCACAGACTTATCTAATATAGGATTCCCTAAGGTATATATTATATACTTACACATATTTATCTAATTCAACCATAAAATTCAGTGTTCACTTTGAACATGGTTCTTGGACTTTGCTGCATACCAAGACACATCAATTTGCAATCTGTCATCATTATAACCACATTTAGAAAAACTAAAGCAATTTCCAACATTTCTGATGCCATTAAGAGAACATGGGAAGAACCTTTAGTCTTCTCAGTCCACAAGATTGCATTTTTGAAGCCTGTATTTACTGATAAATCCTTTGCTTATCAAAATATCACAACAAAAAGTATATTTGCAACTGCCAATTCTCCAGCTTGGTCTGATTCTGCAGATACTGAGTTGTATTCAGTATTTGCAACTGTGCTTCCTCCCACATATGGTAAACCCTCAACCAGTATTATAAATGTTTTACTCTCCTGAGTAAAGGCAAAACAGATTAACTGGTTTAACAGCTCTTAGAACACTCATTCTACCTAGTGAAGTAAACACTGATGAAGAAGAGAAGTGTCTAGAGGTACTCCAAAAGTCTTTCCAAATATGGACCAAATGTCTTAAAAAAACCCAACCAAATAAAACCCTGAAACCAAGAATCCCACAAAACCCAAAATACTAAAGAAAAAAACCCCAAACAAACAAAACCCTCCCAAGCCCCTCCCTCAACAAAAAAACCCCACAACTTAAAATCAAAACAAAAACCCCATACAAATTAAAAAAGCCCAACATACCAATGCTAGACTTTATTACCAAGGCTGCTTTTCCCACCACATGCACTTGTGCAAGAATAAGAGAAATGGGGTGGAACAGAATAAAGCTGTGGTCCTTTAAAAGCTGTGTTCAGAATCAACCCTACAGGGCTTTCGTCATTTCAACAGACATTTCCTAAGATTTATTTTACATTTAAAGACATTTTAAACAAATCAAGAGAGGGTTAGAGGAAGAAAAGACAGGAGTCAGGAGTAAATACGGATCTGCACGGTGGTTTAGTCAACAACACACACATATTGTTTAAATAAGAAAATTGGAAGTATCTCCATATACGTACATAAAGCCCTTTTACTGAATCACAGAAGTGTTGATCCTGGAGATATCTCTTGAGAACACATGCTTTCCTGTCTAACACCCTTGCTGAAACAGGGTCAGCTACAGCAGGGTCCCCCAGATCACATCCTGTTGCATGGAGACTCCACAACCTGTCTGGTCAATCCATTCCAGTGTTTGACCACCCTGACAGTAGACAAGTGCTTTCTTGAGTACATACTGAATTTGCTGTGTTCCTATCAGTGTCCAGTGTCTCTTGTCCTAAGAGTGGGCACTACTGAGAAGAGTTTGCTTCTCCCTTCATTCCCTTCCATCAGGTATTTATACCCATTTGTAAGATCCCTGATCCTCCTCTCCTCCAGGCTGAGCATTCCCAGTTCACTTGGTTTCTCCTTGTATGAGAGGTGCCCAGATTCTTAACCACCTTTGCAGCTCTAATTTAAATAACAACCACCACTACTGCAATGTTAAAGACATCACAGCATTTCAGAAAAGAACTTGACTAAACATGAATACTTGAAGACAACACAGTAGCCAGAGCTAACATTTATTGTCAATGCAGGCTCCTCAAACCACAACTGCAAAGTCTATCAATTAAATGCTGCACTAAAGATTTTGCTTCTAAAGAATGGCACTGCTAAATGAATAGTTAACATGAAATCCACTGCTCAGCCATGCGAGACTTTTCATATCCTTTATTATCCATTTCAACATGCTGACAATGGCAGTTTGCTAGCTAGGCTCAGAAAGCACTGTGCCGGTGACATCTGATATACCTGCTTCTCTGATAGAAAAGTTCTGAATTCAAAGGCAATCACATATACCTTCTTGTCAAAAGCAAAACAAAATAAGTTCACAAAAGGTTAACCGGTGCAAGTACACCAGTTACCACTTTCACAAGTATAGCTTACGGCAGCAACGCTTCCCTCTAACAATAATTCATATTAATTACTTTGAAATACTAGTGGTACCCATCACCTGCCACCTAACAAACAAAAGTGAAACAAAACACCAGTGAAAGCAGAATTGACCCAAACTGGGAAACATTTACCACTAAGTATTTCTTCTGAATGCATGAATGCCTATGCACAGGTGCTATACTTGTCCTTCAGTAAGCTTTCTTAAACTCAAGTTGTTTAATAGCTATACAGTGTTTTAGAGATTTTCCTTTAGTTCCATCTAATGGCAAAACACACTTCAAAAGTTACATTTTAGATAAGCTGAGAGCAAATATCTCTCACTGTCCACATCTCCTTTCATTAAATCTTTTGAAAATAGACAACTATACAGACAGGTTGATATAGGAACTTTCCAAGCATACCCTTCTCTGGGGAACCTTCAATTAAAAAGTAAAATTTAGACTCTTGTCATAATAGCTTGGTTGACAATGCTGTCATATCCCTAGGAGGCTTCCAGCGGAGGCGTAGGACCTGATCCAGCAAAGCACTTCAGCACAGATGCATGTCAGTATTCCCACCGGAACTAGCAAAACTATTCACACGCATAAAGTTACATAGACATTTAAGTGCTTTCCTGGATCAGGCCTAATAGTTACAGTATCGAAGCGCAAAGATCAACTAACAGTCAGCTTTACGATTTAAGGGATGCAGCTCCTATGGCCAATACCAGCAGGATAGCTGACCTGCATAATTCCCGCTAAAGCCACAATTTTACTCCAGAACTTTTCAAATTAAAGAAATCAAAGAGAGCACAGTAGGGAAAAGGCAAGAGTTGGCCACATTCTCTCTAGGCAGAAATTCAGTCAAGATTAGCATCTACTGCCTCTTGCACAGACATAGCCACTTTTTCTTTGTTAGAGCTGCAGCACACTGCAATAGATGAATCTTTTCAGGGGTAGTGAAGCTCTACTCTGGCCAATTGATCAACGTGGTTGGACTCTTAATATACTAGCAGAGTGTTACCCAAATCATGAGGGCTCTGCAGAAGTGCAAGGTTTACTACCATGAATCAGAGACAGTAAACCCTGATGGTCTGACATTTTCCCCTTAAAAATTAAATCAGGACTATAAAATTTGTTTTTCATATTCAACTATTTTACATTAATATGGGTATTGCCCACTACTTGCTTATATGCTTAAAGTAAATTTCAGAAATTACTAAAAATCATGCATTTTGAGCAGTCCAACAATGAAACCAGTAATGCATTCTCACTTCTGCAGGTATTAAGTTATTCCTCACTTTTGCTCAGGCAAATACAGAATAAATTATATAATGGAATGCAGGGAAAAAACAGAAAATAGGATTTCTCAAAAGTTATTAGCATGGTCAAACATCAAAAATTTGAGATGACATTCTGAAAATATGCTAGTCTAAGTAAAATGTGAAAAAACCTCTATTCAATATTAAACAGGGTATGAAGATCAG